TATATCAAACGAAACCATAAGAATTCATCTACATATATATATATATATATATTATATTTTTCTCCGCAGGTAGTTGATCTCCTATGGACCCACTTGCCGGGCACAATATTGCGGAAAAGAGCAAAGAAAGGCTGATAATCTTAGGCAGTTTTAAGGAAGAGGAAGATGACGAAAGAAGTACTACTACTAGCTGTTTGTGTCTAAACTCCATGAAGAAGAAGATGAACAAGTTTTGGAAAGATTCGGTAGATTTCGCCAGAAAAGCATGGGAAATGGGACGTTCCGATCCCCGGAAAATCATTTTCGCGTTTAAAATGGGGCTGGCTTTGGCACTTGTTTCGCTGCTCATTTTCTGGAAGGAGTCATACCATGACATCGATCAATATGTGATCTGGGCAATACTCACCGTGATTGTGATGTTTGAGTTCAGTATAGGCACGTAATATTATGATTAATGCACTAGAAAGTACTACTGTTGGTACTAGTTTAATTTATTATTCTTTGAACTAAGTAATTTTGTCAATTAATTAACTAACACGACCCTTTTAATTCATGCAGGTGCCACTTTGATTAAAGGGTTTAATCGTGGATTAGGAACACTAATAGCTGGAATACTCGCATTCTGCTGCGCGCAGCTGTCTAAGTTGGTGGGCGACCTGTGGGGTGAAGCTATAATCGTCATAAGCGTTTTCGTAGTAGGTTTGTATTAACACTACTTTAACATGCACAAAAAAAAAAAAACATTAATAAAGTCAAAAAGCATGCAAGAAATTTATTTATGGTAGTACATGTTTTTAAATGTTATAAGTTTGGTAAAAAGAATATGATATACAGAAAAATTAACAGGATTTAATACAGACATCAAGATTCAATATAAAGACTCAACGGTTTAATTTATGATTCTCATTAATTTTGAAATGTTATTAGCATTTTTCGCGTCATATTTGAAGCTCTACCCAACAATGAAACCCTACGAATATGGGTTCCGAGTGTTTGTATTGACGTATTGCATACTAATGGTGGCCGGGCTTAGAACTGGGCAGTACAATGAGGCAGTGGTGACTCGGTTGGTGCTCATAGCATTGGGTGCTTGTGTGTGTTTTGTGATTAACATTTGCATCTTCCCAATCTGGTCCGGTGAAGATCTACATCACTTGGTCGCCAAAAATTTTAAGGGCGTCGCTTCCTCCTTAGAAGGTAATCTAGTCTAGATAAAAAAAAAAAAAAAAAAAAAAAAAAAAAAAAAAAAAAAATTTAATTAACGTTGATGAGATATTTGTTTTATTTTTTAGCAACATTAAAAAGGCTGCATTGGTGCCTCTGCCTTAGCAATAATATTGTTATGCATTTCTGCGAGTGGGGCGGGTCTACTTTTTGTATTTTACTGAACCCTTCTAAATACTTGCCAATATACTCGACGTTCTTTTACTATACATGTACATTTTTGAGATTTTTTTAAAGATATCTGCTGTAATAACTTATCGTAGATTTGATTAAAATCATGTTAAAATAATATTAAAATAAAGGTATGTTAACGGATAAATTTTGATATACATTTAAAGGATTAAAATGGAGCTACTAAAAAGTTTTTTTTTTTTTTTTTTTTTTTTGCAGAAAAAATATTTCGTAAATATTATCAATTTTGATCACGTTCTTTTATCTTGTTGTCATGTCATTACCTGTAATTATCAATTATCATTTTTGTAATTGCAACAATAGTAGTGTGTGCTGACATAAGAAAAAATATTGAAATACATGATTTTCAGTGCTATAAGAGAATATTATAATCCTTGTTATTTTAAATTTGATGAACTGAAATTGGTTTTCCAACCTTGTTCTCAGGTTGTGTAAATGGTTACCTTCAGTGTGTTGAATATGTGAGAATCCCTTCTAAGATTCTGACATACCAAGCTGCCGAGGACCCACTGTACAAGAGCTACCGGTCGGTTGTAGAATCTACAAGCCAAGAGGAAACTCTGGTAACATGAAACTAGGAAGACACAATACGGATTCATCATTTATGTCGTCTGTCTTTTTTCTTTTGCTTGACGTGAGAGAATATTTACTGCTCTTTTTGACATGAATTTTTAATTCTCTACATCTGTAGCTAGGCTTTGCAATATGGGAACCACCTCACGGACGTTACAGGATGTACAATTACCCGTGGCAAAACTACGTCAAAGTGAGCGGTGCGTTGAGGCACTGCGCCTTCATGGTTATGGCACTTCATGGATGCATTCTCTCCGAGATACAGGTAAATAATGTACACAAAGAATGTAATAGAGTAAAAGCTTACAGAGTAAGTAAAAGGATAATCTTAAACCGGTAGGGCACGGTTCTGGATCATTTTACTAATAAGTTAATAAAGATTTTTTTAGAGGAAAATAGACCAATACTCCTTAAAATGTACCCGTCTGAATTCTTACTTTTTATTCTTAATTAATATTTTAGTCAAATAACTAGTAAGGGGTAAAAATATTGACTTATACACTAAAAGAGTAAGTTCAGCACTTTTTGATAGAAAATATCCTTTGGTGAAAACCATCACCTAAAAATCCAAGAACGTTCATGTTGGATCACCAAGAATCAATAGACCAATAAGCGAAAGCGTACATGAACCTATAACGACCAATTACTCTCTAGAGCCGTACAGTTTGCCTTCCAAATCAACACGTTTTCCTATAGAATCCATTAACTTTCTCTCTACTCTCTTTGATGATGGAATGTCAAAAAGAATAGAATGTAACATGTGATCTGGGGATCATAACCGCTATATATAGATAACTTTCTTGTTATCTTTTCGTATTTCTATTTTAGTTCATTATAAAAATAGAAATTATCTTAATCTCTACACATTAAAAACACACACCCTATCAATACTTTCAAAATATCTCAGTACCAATAAGTATTTGATTAACATCGTTTTGATCTTTTTCTTTTATGTTTTTTTTGCTCTAGTCGTTTTTATTTGTCCATTTGACACAAATTTTTTTTTTTTTCATAGGTTTCTCACCCATAATTATTTTATATAATTGATATCGTCCCGTTACATCAATAGCTTCAATTATTAATTCAATTCAATCAATAACTAAACGCGTTACAAGATTTTTCATTATTGTTGTCGAAATAGATAATATTAGACATGCCAGGGCAACTACTAACAACTCATGTGACTTGTGTACCGCGTAGGCTCCAGCTGAGAGGAGACAAGTATTCCGCAGTGAACTTCAGAGGGTCGGCTCAGAAGGCGCAATAGTCCTTCGCTTGCTTGGAAACAAAGTGGAGAACATGGAAAAACTTGGTTCCAAAGACATACTCAAAGAGGTTCATGAAGCAGATGAGAAGTTGCAGAAGAAGATCGACCATAGATCTTACTTGCTAGTCAATTCTGAAAGCTGGGAAATCGGAAGACGACATATTAATGATGAACTAGTGCAAGTGGAGAATATTAACGATCATCAAAATGGTGATTATGGACTGGGATCTGAGTCATTGAGCGAGACGGTGCTTAACTTAGGCACTGTTCCTATGGCTCGCACGCCTTCTGCACCGCCGAGTGATCATGAGCATAACAATGCGCCTTGGCCCTCGCGGATGTTGTTCATTGGCAATGTGGGAAAAGAAGAGGAGAATTACAAAACGTACGAAAGTGCGAGCGCTTTGTCTCTTGCCACGTTCGCTTCGCTTTTGATTGAATTTGTTGCCAGGCTTCAGAATGTGGTGGATTCTTTTGAAGAGCTTAGTGAAAAAGCAGAGTTTAGAGATCCTGTTGATATGACCGTAACCATGGAAATCTACACAGATACCTACATAACCGATTAAAAAAATCAACAAAATATGTTTTATTAAAATTACTCCACTTATAGCCGGCACTTAACGCTGGAGTATTAGAATGGATTACCACCAGGAATCTACCAGATCAAATTACCGGAATCAAGAGTGACGACCGACCAGCACTGTTGGAGTTACCTATGAGATTAGCATAAGTAATCTCCTAGATTATGTTACCTTTTTCAATATAAATAAGGGAAACGTTATCACATCTACATAATAGATTTGAAAGTTTTCAATTATACCTTAAGTTTCGGCTTTTAAGTGTACTTATCTCAAATTAAAAATCTCAGGTCAACGAAAAATCAACTATATTAGTATACTATAAACTTTAAACATTAGTTTAACTCTATTAGAAGCTTGGTTCATTTAAATTTAATGTAGGTCAAAGATTGTTGCATTGAAATTTTAGTTCAAATTTCATTTCTAGAAATTGGCACAGATAAATCAATCATACATCGAGTCTGAGAAATTGTCACTATAAACTATAGTTACCCTTTCCCTTTCAATTCTAAACCATGAAAATTAGGAATTGATATAAACTGCACGAGCAGGCTCTCTATTTTCTTTTCTTTTTCACTCGTCGTCATTATTTCTTGGAAAAGAAAAAGAAAAAAAGGGAGATATAGGAACATGTCTTCACCTATTTTAGAAAACAACGCCATGTCGTTTTATGTCCTTTGACCAACTTTATATTGGTTTTGTTTTTAGGGCGAACGACATGTCACTCTCTGCTCAGGAAAGTATTTATATTCATTTGATGGAGCGACATAGCGTTTTTCTTGTCATGAACGTATTATATGTCGTTTTTAAATAAGTAGATCTTATTTTCTAGCCAAATTGCATCTCGTTTTAGTTTCTCAGTATAAACACTTGAAGATGAGAGGGGGAAAAAATGAAGAGAAAGTTGCTTCTCTTACATGTAAAAACTGCACAAGGACAGAGATATTGGGTGCGTTTGAAACTCGTTCTAAAATAAATTTATTTTTTATATAAAAATGGAAATAAAAACGTTTTCATCTCAGACAATAATCATTTTTAAAAATATGTTTAATAATTTTATCATTAGATTATTTTACTTTCAAGATCCCAACACAAAATGGTCAGCAATTGTTCCACTGATCTTGGTTTTGAGCCTATATTATTGCTCTAAGCTCGATCATTGTTATTCATAGTCAACGTTGATGCATCATCATATGTGTATCAGTAAAAGAGAACTGTCATGTGACAAACAGTAAAAGAACTGGGTCCCACTCAATCACTTGCAATGGTGACCTTTAAGCCCTGTAAGTTGTACCACATGACTACTTGCCATTGGACTATAATGGAAATAGATGTTTCCATCACCCGACTTTCCATTTTTAGAGGTTGCTTTTCAACCAACTTGGAGCCTGGGAAAGTTCAGGAAGTGACAAATTCACCATCTGTTGGAGAGACCCCCAGTGTCATAAGACCACAGATAGTAACGTTTTACTGTGGCAGGCATTTCGAAAGGCCTGAATCGTCATCTGTGGCAATCATCTTGCTCTCCAAATCTTGAGCAGCTTCCATCATGCCTAGCGCATTGTAGGCATGGATCATGGTGGCGAAGGTGATACTGTCAGGATAACACTTCCTCTCCTTCATTGCGGAAAACAATTGACGCATGCTTTTCACATCACCAGCCTGGCCATAGGCACTAATGGCACAGTTGAAAAAGGGTGTGTCTAGTATAACATCGGAATTTTGCACTTGCCTCATAATAGAATCAACTTTCTCCATAAGCCCGGCTTTACTATAAGCATTAACTAGAGAGCAATAGGTGATGGAGTTAGGCTTCATTCCTCTATGCTTAATTCTCTTGAAATACTCATCCATCATTGCAACATCTCCCACTTTCCCGAATATCTCGATGACTATATTGAAAGTAACAACATTGGGAGTGAAAAACCTCTTCTCCATGAACTCCATAACGGAGGTCATCTTATCGCATAACCCTGCCTTCCCATACGATTTTATCAGGATGTTGAAAGTCTTAACGTCAGGCCTTATTCCCATCAGTTGAAACTCATCATACCACTTCTCCATTTTCTCAATCTGGCCACTATTTCCGTAAGCCACGATGAACGTATTCAACGTGAAAATGTCTGGAAGGCAGCTTCCACTCTCAATCATATTCATCAGAGAGTCCTCCATCAGTTCAAACATCTCTGCCTTACCGTATCCATGAATCAGAGTATTGTACGTCACGGTGCTATATTTGATCCCCAAATACGACATCTCCTCAAGAACACGATCAATGAGATCAAGACGGTGGTACTTAGTGCAGCAGTTAATGAGAATTGAGTAGGTATACACATCTGGTTTGCAATCAGAGACCGATTTCATCTCCTCCACAGTGGAAAATGCCTCTTCCAAGAGGCCACTTTGGCCATAAGCACTAACAAGGGCAGTGTAGACATCAATAGTCGGTTTAAGCCCATCAGACAACATGGTTTCAAAGAGCAAGCTTGCCTGCTTAGGCTGCTTGCACTTGCCAAGCGTCACCAGCAATTTTGTGTACGTTTGGCATCTCGGAGTGTACCAATTTTGCAGACGTAGTAGTTCAAAGATCTACAAAAACAATCCTTCTTTCATTTCAAAATCAATTATAGCTTTGGGAAAGAGAAAAAAAAAATTTCCACGGTAGATAAGTACTATCCCAAATAAAATTTTATAACATAAGCTAATTAGTAACTTTAACAGCAGCAGTGAAAACACTCTCTTGGTCAAATTATATTATATTTTGTTATTTCATTTTATCTCAGGCTCAGCAACCTACGTGGATAAACGAAAAAAGAAAAAGGAGAAACCCTATGATGCTAAATGCATTCTCGGAAATTATTTACAAACAGTTATAAAATGACCAACAATGTAAGGACACCAGTGTCCAACACCATACACTAATAAAAGTGAGTCTCGCGGCACGGGGTCCACAAGTGCTACTCACATTCTATCTAGTGGTGCGTGCCCTCAGGCATTTTTCTAAAATGATAACTTTAAAAAGAAAGATGTTCTTTATTCGACACGTATAAAAGCAGAACCCAGGAAACGAAAACAAAACCAAAATGATACTTCAAGTTCAAAACATGTTTTTTTCTTTTTATCTCTTTATACATAGAGGAGAAACAAAAAATGTAAGCAAATCAGAAAACGGTTAATTTGCAACAAGAAAATGAATGCAGATTAAAGAAAAAAGGCAAACCTTTAAAGCAGTTTCCCAGTAGTTGTTTCGAATAGCCTGATCAAGTGCCTCAAGAACAGGTTTAGGCCATAAGTTGTTATACTTTTTGGAGTTTGCTTTTCTCTCAATGTTCCTTATAGCTGCGTCGGTTCGCAGAATCCGAGACAGGTCCTTCTTGTGATCTTTCTGAAGGCCCTTTCCAGAACCTTCGGAGCTCCGCTTCGACAAATGGCGGCACCGAATTTTTTGGGTTGTTGTTCGGGTGTGGGAATGATCAGTGCGGACTTTTGTCAAACGAGTAGTGGGGCTTGAGGAAGTTCCAAACGACAAGCCCGGCTTGGAAGCTTCCAGAAGGCGATACTCCATCTTAGGAGTGATGCGATAAGGTTGGGGAATGGTAATTGGTGGAGGAAGAAGAAGAAGAGAGGCGTAGGTTAGTGGTGTGAAAGGTGGAGATGATAAATTGCGCGGGGAGCATAGGATATTGTTATTTTCAGGACGTTATTTACAGTTGGCCAAATGAATCTGTAATGTTTATTAAAATAAATAAATAAATAAATCTGAATATTAGTCATGACTGGGCTTTTGGGCCGCAATGAATATTGAATGGGATTTTGGGCTTAGAGGTTGGGGTTGCTCGTCTTTGGGCTTTTTGGTTGGTTTTGATTATGGGCCTGAGAAACAAACCCCCTCCTCTTCACACTTCACTTGCTGACAGTAATTACATAAATAGGAAATAGGCCGACATTTAAGAAAATATATAGGTCATTTTTTAGTTATAGAAATTAATAGATCATAATTTGTCAAGTTATGATTCATAACTAGATAAGTAATGGATAAACTTGTCAAGTTATGGTTCATAACTAGATAAGTTATAGATAATAACTTGTCAAGTTATGGTTCATAACCAGACAAGTTATGGACGAAAACAATAATTTGACCTATTTATTAACTTATGTAAACTATTAGCCTATTAATTTTAATTCATCTCAAGTCTTGACCTATTTTCCTATTTCTCCCTTACATAAAAATGTCCACCACAAAAAGCCCTGAATCTAAAACTGTATATTATTATACAATATTATAAAAATATCTACCCGTGTTTAACAAGGCATATATAATACCGAGTATGCCCTTATAACTTATTTTGGGCACATTTTTTATATGGTGATTTGATTCAATTATTTGATTTTTCCTAATCATATTTTTCATGTTGACTTTCCTTTTTAACCACAATTAATATTTGTAATCAATTTGATTTAATATTGATGTTGTCTTCTATTATATCAGTTTCTCTTTCATTTCTTTTTTGAATTTTGGCGTTGGTTGTTCTCCAAAAAAATGTTTGAATTGTGCTGCTAGAGAGGTCGTTGCGTGTAGAGATTTTGATGCGGTAAGCAAAGGGGATTCGTCCCTTTTTTCATTTCATTTGTGTAAAATTTTTCTTTTTGTTTTTCTCTTAGTTTTGTGTTAGAATATCAATTAACCATACTTTCTTTACATTATTTTCATTGATCATTACGATGAATTGTAGCTTTACATTGTTTTTCTTCAGTTTTGTGTATATGTGTTAGAATATCAATTATTCATACTTTTTATTTAAATCGTTTTTATTGATCATTACAATGAATTGTAGTTTTCATTCTATAATGATTGTAAATACAACTTTTGAGGTTTTTTCTTTTTTGTTTTTTTTTCCTCCTCTCTATTTTAGTGCTGGAACTTCGGGTCGGCGGGCCGCCCGAAGCCCGAATTTTTTCGGGCTCGGGCGGGCTGGCCCAATTCCCGCCCGTCCAAGCAAGAAATTCGGGTTCGGGCTCAGGCAGCCCGGATTTGACATGTCCCCCCTTACCCGCCGCCGTCTAACCACCGTATACCGCCGTCCGCCGGGATTTTTTTGCATTTTTCCGACCAAGCCCGAACTGCCCGACCCGAAAATTGGGTGTGCCCGAATTGCCCGACCCGAAGCCCGAATTTTTGAATTTTGCCCGAATTTTTCCCGCCTGCCCGACCCGCCCGAGGTGCCCGAATTACCCGAATACCCGAAAACGGCTAGGTTTTTGAATTTTTACCCGAATTCGGCCCGAAAACCCGAGTTGCCCGAGTTGCCCGAACTGCCCGAACTGCCCGAATTGCCCGATTTGCCCGAAAACGGCTAGTTTTTTTAATTTTGCCCGAAAACCCGAGCTGCTCAGTTTGCCCGACTGCCCGAACCCGAATTTCAAAAAACTAGCCGTTTTATCCCGTTTTTTTTTTTGAAAAAAAATCATTTTTTAACCCCAAAATTTCCCTATAGATACCCCTCATCCCTCACACATTTTTCTCACTCAAACTCTCTCAATCCCTCTCAATCTCTCTCAATTTCTCTCAATCTCTCTCAATCTCTTTCAAGTTCTCTCAATCTCTCTCAATCTCTCTCACAATTTTTCTAAAGCTCTCTCTCTAGTGTCTATCAAATTCATCTTATTTTTTTATAATGGATCCTTTTGGTTATAGTGGTATTCCCGTTGATGCCCAACACAATGTAGAAGAAGGGCAATTTCCCACTAATGAGTTTGTTACGCAGCAAATGCAATCTACTAATCCAAGC